CCGACCCTTATAACGTTCATAAGCGCAGTAAGAATCGGCCGATCGAGGGCGCGCGGCGGTTGCGTTGCTGCGCCGCAGTCAAATACCATTTTGCTTAGGGTTCCGCACTCATCTTCGGCACATTTGCTGACGATTTTTGAGAACTCTAACACAACTTAAAAAAGGAGAGCTCAAATCGGAAGAAGAAAAGTGCGGAAAGGCCGGAATAGAGCCGAATTGGGCCAAATCGGTACTCACAAGGGGCCGCAACGCAACCGTCGCGCATCCTCGATCGGCCGATTCGTCTTGCGCTTATAAGCCTTATAAGGGTCGGCCAATTCTCGGCCAGTCCTTATGAAGTATGGAGAAAACCTTAGCTGACGCAAAAAAGCCTTCTTCTGAATTTGTCACGTTTCTTGATATTTATGTTTAGAACACAGCTACGAACATTAGAGTAGTCCAATTTGAGTGTATATTCTGTTACTACCTTTTACCAACTGTATCGCATACTGGAGAAAAGTCTTTAGTCTTCCGTTTCGTCTTTCTGAAACTTACTATTTACTTACTATTCATTGGATTATTTGTTATTTTGACATTTGATACTGCCTCAAACAAATCTATATTCAGGAATTTGATACATCTCCTCCCTATCTTCCCTACAGTTTCATACCTGGGATATGAAGCTCATTACTGTTATGGAGACAAATTACCCCTTATTGATAGTAAGTTCTAAACTTGCGCTCATATTATCTCTATTGTTACTTAGTAATTTGTCGCTTTGCAGAGGCAGCTTCTGAAATTCGAGCTGAAAAGCTTGATTGGTTAGTGCCGAGCACGATATCCGTTGAAGATGTTCGAAAACGAATCGAGGAATTGAGACAAATAAGGAAAGATGAGGAATACCTAGTGCAGTAGATAATAGGGTGTGGTTTGTGTAGTTGTAGATCGACCATGACATGCGGATCTTGTCAATGCATTTATAATTTGACATGGTTTCTCGTGGGGAGTTTTACTCGAACTAGTATGGTTAGCTGTGATAATTTAGAAATAAATTTTGTATACTAGTGTTAAAGCAGAGTTAACCGTTTAGCGAATATCTTTTGAAGTTAACTACAGATTGGTATTTGCTGCTCATTATTTAGATGGGACAGACTCAGAGCTCCCATCCTGATGAGCCGAAAACAGTCGAGCTCAGACAGCTTACCGATGATATTGTAGGTTCTTATTCATAAATACTATTGTCGAGCTTTCATCTCTAAACTCCGCGGGATTCTTTTTCCTGATCTCAGCAATCATAGTATGCGGTTGTGGATATGATTTTATAGTGGAAATAGTATCTCCGTAGATCAAGCGGACTCAAGGAAAAAAGGCGGAAGGAAAAGGAGAGTGAAGGTGTGACTGTCACAACGCACTAGTTTTGCGTTGTAGGGCCATTTAGGCTTTTGGGGGTGCATGACTGCGGTTGCGCACGAATTAAGTAAATCTGTTTGTTCACATGTCCTTCGCTCATGCTTAACTCTTTATATGTTCAAAGCATTTTTAGATAGAATCTGAAGCAGCGTTGAAGAATCTCGAATTTGCCCAGAAACGAGCTACTCAGGTGTGTATTGCTGGAATAATTTTTTGTGTGTATTTTTACTATTGAAGTAACCATGGCTCTTACCAATATTAAGCATATGTCGTAAAAGTAAAATTATTTTGCTATTATTATTGGATACGATTGATTATCTTGATGTGTTTGTCTTAATTTTCATCAATTCATTTTTCAGTTGGTGAAGCAGCAAGATCTTTTCTCATTTGAGCTTGCTGCTATTACCACCATGACATGTATCTTACTAGCAGCAGGCTCCATCACTAAAAGAAAGGTTGAGTTCTCACGTCTAATTTAATTCCTCTTACCTTCGCTTTTCATGGTTTTTTTTTTGCCCTTATAGAATTTTTCTGCGTTTTTTTAGGATTTTGCTATCCCTATTGTACCACTAGTCATGTGGCTAGGTTATAGATACGATAACGCTTTTGGAGAGAACCACGAATCAATCAAAGGTTGGATTCTCAGAAGTCTTGCATTAACAATGGCTACGGCTTTTTTCTTTCAGAAAAGGCAGAAGCTTTGTTGAGAACAGACGACAGCAGGTTAAAAATGATTGGAGGTCCATTGACGCTCAAAGAAATTGATGCTTACCGAGAGCAGCACTTCCGATGAATATAGTAGTGAGGCTAGATTTTGTCATTTTCTTCTAATTTATGTTAAATTTGCATGAAGTCTTTCCGATAAAACTAACTTTGTCGCTTATTTGCGAAATAAGATTCCAAAATGGTATGGTAGGAGAAAGGGAGGTTAAAAGCGTTCTAGTGGAGTGTAACATTGTAACATTGTATCTTTACGGTTTGATTTAGTTTTGACTTTATTTTAATGGTATCTCAATGGATTTCTTTCTCATTTTTTTGTGGCAATTCTCCCTTGTTTTGGAATTTGAGTCTAAACACGAATCTTCTCATATTTATTAATCTGTGGATTTTCGAACATCTCCACTGGGATGTCGCCGCCGTATCCGGTAGGCTTCCCGACTTTCTCGTCGTGACATGGGCCGTGCTCTCAGTTTCCCTTTATGATTTAAGCTTTGCCGTCGCTCTGAGTTCTTTCTTTCGTCTGCGGGAATGTCACTCTAAAATAAGTGTTATTTTTCTTGAGTTCTGTTGGTTTTAAGCTTGCTTACCAAGAGTCTACCGCGATCTTTCGTTCTCAGGCGCCGGTTATCTCTTGTTTCCTTATTCCTTATCTCTTTTAAGAGTACCTTGCGTTCCAAGGCATTTCGTATGGCTTGTTTGGCATTGAAGGTATCTCTGGAGTGGTTATTCTTTATCCTTTTAAAGGTTTTCAGATCAAAAGTTTTACCTATTGATAGTTGGAGGTGCTGAACTAGTGCTGGCCTCGCTTAATGGCCAATCTGTGCCCTCTTTCAGATATCGCTTAAAATCGGTGTTGGCAATACTCGAAGTACTGCTTTCGGGAGTGCTGTCAGCTGAATCCTCAATTTGAGATAACCTTAAAAACACAATAGCTAAGGTTTTCCATCCTTCTCGAGATTTCCGCTAACTCTTACCTGTTTGTGTCCATCTCTAGCACAGTCTCATCAGATACTACTGAAGAGTCAGAATGTATCCGTGGTGTAGTTGACGATGACTCAGAACTTCCACGAATCAGTGTAAATGCTGACGATGCTGAGCTGAGTGAGCTGTGAGGGGCGATCTCATCGCTTAATTAAAGTTGATTGATAGTCAAAATGTGATAGAACATTGACAGGTCTACCTCGGATCGGCGCTATGACTTGTGGATGGTTGGCAGTCTTCGTCTGGCAAAGGTGATGGAGGGGTTTTTCTAAACCGTCAAGTATTTATCCCTTTTTAGCCACTCGATATGTTACTGTACTAAAAGTAACTAAAATATTTTTTGATGAAAGATGCCCAATAACTTGATGTGCAAACTGTTTGAATGAGAAATGACGTGCATATTTCCACATTAATAGTACTTAGTTGTGTTGGATACAAAAACCTGCTTTTCTTCCAACTAAAAATTTCAAAATGCTGAGTTTTGGCGTGAGAAAGGGAGCTAATCGACTTCTGATTTTTTTCAAAAAAAGCGATTGTAACAGTGAAAACTGATCATGCAAATCCTACTTTTTTCTTTTTGCCTAATGTTCTCAGATCTTCTTGAAACACGTTATTGCAGCATAAAAAACCTGTTCAACTTCTTTTCAGTGTTTGAAACTGTTTTCCGAAAAAAGACTATCTTCTCTCACATCAAACTCTTGTTGAAACTTCACTAAAGTTTCTGAGAGATATGAGGGTTACAGAATTTTGATGTAGATATATGTGATCTTCCTTCTAACAAACATTTCAAAGTGCTTAGAATATCATCGATGATTAACACTTGTGCTCAGATTTTGAAGGCGAATCTGCGTGCAGAGCTTACATTTGTTCATCACTAGCCTTAATATTGATAGGTGTCACTTATAAAGAATAATGTTGTACGGTTAG